CGGAGATGGTGGTCGCTGACTACGGCAAAGAATGGGGTAGAATGATAGGATTTAAGGATTAAGATTTGAGGACTTCACTGGTCCGTGTCCAAAAAGTTAGTTCAAATGAACCTGCTATCAAAGCTCTTGTTCTTACCGTCACAGAGTACAACAGGCTGCCCCTAATTCCATTTTAAACCTCTTCTTTCAAACGCTTAATTCCATCTTATTGTTTACAAATGACAAAGTTTCCTTTATTTCTGTTATGTGTCCATTTCAGAAGATGGATCTCGAGAGTCGGTTGCGAGCAGCGGAACAGCAACTACGTGAACTCGTCCAAGCGCTCCCTCCACTTCCTTCAGCAGCAGAGCTTCACGACAAAATTGTTCAATATTGTATTGATTTCCATGATTGCACAAAGGCGGTCACATCTCTGGAGAACCGTGTTAATGAGCTTAGAGTTTCCTATGATTCTCTGACCAATCGAATTCATCAGGCCGAATATCTCGAATTGCAATCTGATCACTTACGCTTAAGAGTGCTCTTTACACTGACTCAATTGCGTAATCTCTTTGACCTTTGTCCCATATTAATGGCAACCAGACGCGTAAGGGAAAAGGAATGGGCTACTCTCATCAATGGACCTCACAACACGAGCAATAACGAACCGCTTTTGATGAACCTGAGTGAAACTGAAGTTGTTGCAACTGAACAGCTGAGCAGAATCGCTGAAATCCAGTCAAAAGTGAGGAATTTACGCAGATCGTATCATTATGAATATTACCAGAGTAGGGCTTGCTTCGCAGATGACAAGCCCAGCACGATGGAGCTGCAGCAGATGGTCACAGAATCGTGCGAAGAAGTCTTGGAGTGCCGGAATGAGCAACCTGAACGCAAGCCGATGGATGAGGGCGCCGTCGATTCGATGCAGTACGAAGAAGACCTCATCAACGAGAGACTTGAGCAGATGAAGCCGGACCCGGACGAAGAGGATACAGGCAATCTCCCGAATGTAGAGATGAACACTGAACTCGATGAGGAAGAACCGCTGCTTGAGCTTGTGGAAGATGAGGAGTACGAGTTGGAGAGCAACCTTGAAAACAACGCTAGTCTGCTGGGAGTCAAGCGAGAGGTTGAGGACGAGGCCGATGAAGGTGTACCGCCAAACAGGCCAGAAGACGACTTTGTGAACAATGAAACGAAGCCTGAGGAATGTGCCGAAACTGCATTTCGCGGAACCTCAGATGATCGGCTGAGCAGAATTAAGGCTGAGATTCAGAGCGCTGAGCAGAAGCTCCTCCAGCTTGATGAAATTACTAGACAGCTCGAACACGAGCCAACATGCCCTTCAAGGAACAGCGATCGCGGAAAGATTCGTCGACCAAAAGGACGATCCATGCGGTGCGTCTTCTGTGGTACTGTAGGGTTACACTACTCCAACTCTTGTGCAAGGGTCACCACAGCCAGAGAGCGTCGAGTGCTTGTGTTAGCGAATGGCAGGTGCAAGTACTGCTTGGAGCGCCGCTGTAAAGAAGAGAAGATGATACGTGCAAGCATTACTATTCGAGGTGTTTCTACTGCAACAAGAAAGGCCACCATTCTGCGCTTTGTAAGCTGCCTGAACGGAGCGACGAGATCCGGAGGAGAATTGCTGTAGCGCGCGAAGAGCAACAGGACTGCTACGTCAGACTAAAGCGCTGGCAGAGGAAAGCTGCGCCATTTCTGGGATCAAATATAGCTCTGTAGGCGACCACAGTCGTACAGCTCGCTTCCATTTAGCCTTAATGACCATCCAATACCTTCTCACTTCTTTTTTCCTGCTTTTTCTTCATCATCACTTTTTACTTCGCCTTATATGGTTACATGTATATTGCCTTGAGTTATTACAACTGTATAATTTTCATGTTTACTGGAACTTTGTATAGCCCGATTTAAAGCGATAAAATGCGCCATGTAGACGTGTGCCGGCAAGAGAGCCAAGATGCTTGCGTTCAAAAAGAGTAGGAAAAAATATATACCTTTGAGCTTAAGACGAAATAACAAGGTGATCGTGCCATTATTTTCTATTACAAGCACCTGTTTCGATATGGGAATTGAGAAATCAATTCGTTTGGTTAGTTCGCGAGACTATGAATGTATTGGTGCGAAATGGGCCGCAGTGAAAAAAAAGGAAAAGAATCCGTCGAAACGCTCAAGTTCAGGGCTCTCACCTTTGTAATGCGGCTGTGCTAAGGCAATGAGAGACTGAGCGCGGAGAGGAGAGTATGAGGCGAGAGAGCGCAACAGATGAGAGGGCGCCAGACAACAGCCTGCTGCGGACAAGGAAATTGCAGCTGTTGCAGCTAACTTGCAGGCCCTAGCGCCTCTGTCTGGTGATCTTCATGCAGGAGAGTGCCGCATGTGTGATTGTCCTCTAGGGTCTATTCCACAGACCGAAGTGAGTCGTTCACCCGACTTTAGCCTGATATACCATCGAAGGCTCACCCCACAACCAATTTAGGCTTACAGTCCCTTCGGTGTGTAGGATAGAAAAGTCGCAGATGTCGTCCTTAGCCGGAGGTTTCTTCTCGTTTTCCCTCATGCGTTACACTTTACAACTTCACTGCCACTTCCAAGCGCAATAGCACACCAGGCAGGGTCGTGTCAGCATTGTTGGTACAAACACCAACGAGGGGGTCATGGATCGTCCATGAGGTGGGAGGAGGTCGCAACCTTGATGTTCAGCAAGGGAAAACTACATTGAATTTGA